ACCCTGTTGGCTGGTGTCTGTAGTTGACACATATCTGAGGCCATTACCCCCTTCATAATTTGGCAACCTGGTAGAGGCTGCCCAGCCAATAACACATTATTGAGCTGAATTTGTTGTGCGATTTTACGTGCACACGAAGATGTTATGCCATTTTCTTAAAATTAAGAGCACAGGCGGATGCAAATCAAACCAGTACTTTCTTCACGCCACCCCAGTTTGACCCACTTTTGTATCTACTGTGACAGAATCGTTAATTAATACGACCTTGTGTGATTCCTCCAATGTGATGCTGGATTCACCCAGTGCACAGGATAGATTGCACTTTGGGAATGGAAGAAGGGGTGTCTAGGCAAAGAAGTTGCAGTCTGTAGCAGCTTTAAGTGAGAGGAAGGCTCGCATAGAAAGAGGAAAAGGAGTTGGATTGACTGGGAGGGAAACCAGCCCTGGGAAAACGGGATAAAGTAGCCAGTCTGCCTGTTTGTACCTCGATCAGGGGGCTGGTTGAACAAAAGACAGCCTTGCCCATCAGCAACTTGAATGCTGTGTTCACGGAGAAGCCTTTGCACAGTCACGTTCTAGGTCTGGATTTGGAGATGAGCTGGAGCCTGGTAGGGTACATGCATCAAAGGCTACATGCATTATTCAGGACCATCCAGAAGAGAAAACTCTCTGCACTGCTGCTCCTATAATAAGCTGACAGTGCTAACCTTGCTTATTTATAGCTAATAAACAAATTTCCAAAGAATGAAACCTGAAACCCATCCTGCAGCAGAAGCATTTGAGGATTTCTGCTTACAGTAAGGACTTTCACGCAGAACTTCTCCCTGTCCTTGGTCAGCTTGAAGACAGAAATGCCTTAACGAGCTGGATATCACTACAGATGCACTTCAGTGTGAATGCCTAATGCAGCTGCATGACAGAGCTTGGTACCAGCACGGTCACAGAGCATCCACATCCAACTCTGCATTGGGTGTCTGGACCTCTGAGATGTACAGGTGTGAATTTCAGTGTCCAGCTCCTGGACCTCTGAGATGTACAGGTGTGAATTTCAGTGTCCAGCTCCTGAGAAAACACCTTTACATTCATGGTGACAGATCACACAACAATCCTAAAGGCTCTTCTGTTGTTTCCCCTAACTTCTCAAGCACTTCCATGTGATCTGTGATAAACGGTTTTGAACTGTCAGTGGTACTAATGGTCAACATACTCAGCATGAAGTCAGCAAAGAAAAAGACAAGATCAGCAGCAGCAACTTCTTGCAGAGCTGATGCTGGAGCTTGATACATGCCGTGTGTGTGTGGCGGGGGGGGTATTAAGGTTTTTGACTGGCTGCAGTATGAGTGCCAGCGCCACTAGCTGAATTGGGCAAAGTAACCATAGTAACTGTGAGTTTCCGGGACTCAGGATGACAGGTTGATGGGATTACTCTTCAAAGCACTTGCTCCTTTGGGAGAGAAGACCTAAAGGGAGGAGGTGGCAGTTAATGTAGCGCCCACACGAGAACAAGGGTCAGCCGCGGCAGGTCTCCGCTGGAGGGAAGCCCACGGCAGCAATAAGCAGCTCCCTCGCAGCGTTATTTTGACTAGGATCGAAATCACGTAAGGAGGCATAAAACAAAGAAGAACAGGAAGGTGCACACAAAAGTGACGCAACCCCCTTCCGAGGGACGGTCGTGAGCAACGATTCTTGCACGTCTCTGGAGTCTCTCCTTCGCCGCGACAGCTTTGCCCCAGTCTGCCGTTACTGCGTTGAGCGCAGGGGTGGCCAAACGGTGACTGCTGAGCCTGCCTGTGGCTCCTGCGCGGTGAAAAGACAAATCCTTGAAATCTGAACTGTGCCAGACGATGGGAGGGGGGAGGGCGAGCGCGTCTGTACGTCCTGGCAGGAAGGGGTGAGGGGTGCAACTACGGCGTTAAGCGTTTGGATAGATGGTGGGGGAGTGTGAGGCACCGGCGGTAATAAGGGGTGGGCGCACAGCTGGCAGGAGGGTGGTCGCACTGTAGTGTGAAGTAGGGGGATGTGACTTAGCGTAGGGGGTAGGAGGGAAGGCTGTCATCTTCTAGGGTTCGTTGCCTTATTGCTATTAAGGTATCAGGCGGACATGAAATTAAGCTCTTTTTCCGAGTGCCTTGTTCTTGTACGCTGTCACTTTACTTTCCTTGGACCTTGGTGCACCAGAAGCTGCTCTCCTGCCTGCCTGCCTTTCTGGCAGCTCTAGAGCAACGGCCGAGAGACACGCGTGACAGGGCAGTCTCTACCTGTCGGTAACTTCTGGCTGATAAACACGCCCCTTTGGGCCATGATTAACAATGAGAGCAACTCGGAGGATTGGGCTCTGCTCAGCCTCACGGAAGCAGAATTATAATTTAAAGCTGTTTTTGCTCTCTCTTCTTCCTCGTGCTGGATGGGAAGATCGAGATAACACGTTGGCAAACATTTCTTATCTTATTACAGCAGCTGATAACCAACTGCAATTGCTTACACGCAGGCCCACCTACACTTTGCCTGTCTGTTTCTGTAAATCATTTTGGAAAGTCAGTGTCCAGAAAAGATGTAAAAGCATTTTTGGAGGCTGTCTGACCCCCGTGGTCCAGGGAGCTACGCATGAGGAGCAGGATCCGACTCCTCCGGGGACCCAGAGTGGTCAGACCTAATCACAAGCAATGAAAGCTTAATGCCAAGCAATGTCTTCCACAAGAGTTTTTTTTTTCCCTATAGTATGAAAAACCAGTCTTTCTTATGCCATACGCACCTGGATGGGAGAAGTCAGATGTGCAGCCTGCAAGCCACAAAGGCATAAACGGCACTGCCCCTTCCACTGACCCGCTCTGAGTCCTTTAAATGCAAACTGCGCAGACACAGATGTTTTACTACAAAAAAATAAAGGCTGAAAAATTGGATTTAATAGAACTGCTGACACAAGCTTAACTCTAGTATGGCAGAAAGGATTTATGAGAAGTGCACTGTGGGACTAGACTATTTCTGTCGCCTTCTGCTAGCTGCTTACAGGTAGCTGCAGGACTGTTCCTATCTGCAGCGCTTGGCTGTGCGACCTTTGGTCTTTGTTCCCATTTCCCTTCTCACTAGCGACGCTTGGCAAAAGTAAGGTAACTCCATGAAGCCGGGAGTGACACTGTGTGAGCAGCTCTTATCAAAACACGCGGGAGGCGGAAAGCAGCTATTCTAGGGGCTTGAAAGGGGGAAACCCGGGTTCATCAGTTCTTGGCTGTGACGTTGTGCACATCTTAGCTCCCCTCCTCCAACGGTGAAACTCAACAGCATCAACTTGGAAAAGGAGCCTTAAGGAAAGGCTTCGCGTGAATGAAAATTTAATTGTTAAGAAACCACCTCAAAGAGTACGTCCTCATTTCACCTGTCCTTTTTTGCCGTAGCCCAGCTTGAGAAAACTAGCAGGCTGCAGAGGGCTTGTGCTGGGGAACAGGGCAATGCCTGCGTACGTCTCGGCTCAGGGCCCTGCTCCCGGCAAAAGCGGCATGTGTGTGAGCCGCAGCTCTGCGCGTACCACACGCAGCGCTGACCTTTCCTGCCATCCCTTTATTCCTTGCCAGGAATTCTGCACAGCAAAGTGCCTTTGCTTTTAGCTTTGTAGAAATTGTTCCTACCTTCCCCCACACCTCAGAATAAACACAATAATAGTAAAAAAAAAAGAAGTCCTAAGAACTTGGCTGATACATCTGCAATCCAGAAAGGCACAGTCAAGAGGGACGCCTTGATTTCCTTTGTGCGGCCAGCAAAGAGAGCACCTAAGCGGAAGTCTCCCCAGCCGCAGGGCTTCAGCCACCCATTTAACTATATATATA